TGTGTTAGTAATCGTTATGATGTTCCTTCTGTCGTGTTACTCATTTGTTATAATATTGGAATTATCTTGACACCTGACACCCATGTTACACCTCCTGACACCTCCTAACTCCTATCTGACGCCCCTTGACAATCGTGTTGGTTCTAGTTCAGATAGATGACTTGTTTACGAACACTTCTTACACTCGTCCTTCGTAGAGCGGAATGTAAATTTGTGGGGCTACAAACCTGTTAATATGGTACAAGACACGAAATATCAACAGTGTGTCTGGTGTGGGCTACTGTGGGTTGCCGTGGGTTGGTGTGGGCTACTGTGGGTTGGTGTGGGCGAGTCGGAGCAGCACCACCAGACCAGTTCTTGGGTTAACACTTGTCGCCATTCTTTAATAATAGTTAAATAACCTGTCACTAATGATCTGGATTTTTAGATTAACATGTAGGCATTACCGTCCAAAGTGTTTTTTTGGCTTAAGATAATTTGTTGCTTGTCCTAACTATATCACGTATGTTGCTTATTTACATAACTAATCCGACCTTTAAACCGATGACTGGCAACAGGAATATATATATAATTGTTAGAATTTCGTAAATCATCAGTTAGAAGGATAAACGTAGCTCTCAGCCATATGTTTATTACTGGTCGTTCTGTCTCTGTAATAAATGTTGATGTGATACTGAGGAAATATAACCCCGGATGTGTGAAGTACTTGATAATGCAGGTAGTGAGCCGAGGAAGGGCAGTGTACCTGTAAACATTGAAGCCATCACGTGGAAATCTGATCTCGTCGGTTAATTGCTAACACAGAGAGACGATCCTACTGAACAATTTAGCTCTTGATATTAATTTAACTTTGAATGTACTGCATGTGTGAGGTGAGTATGAAGCGAGTCGAGTACATTTCTTGGTACACATTATTATGTTTGTTGCTTTTAGATTCATTTAAAAGTTTTAATCGAGGCTTAAGACAACACTGCTTCTGTTCTTGATGTAAACAATGGTGAAGGCATACAACACCAGATTAATGCACTGTTCTGCTGCCTCGTAGGATTCTCACTCCCTGTACTGAAGTTTCTGAATTAAGGCTTGACTTAATTCAGCCACTCGACGGCGCTCATCAACTGCCTCACTCACTGGTCAACAATGTGTAAAGGTCTATTGTGCCTGGTTGTTATATTCAATTTTATACACTGACGACTGCCAGGAACCTCTTATAATTTTGACTACATAGTTACTTCCCTACAAACCTGCTGGCATGCACACTCAAGCAGCGTCTGGGCAGCAGTTGGTTATGGTGAATTATATTAGGGGAAAAGTCCAGGTATACGTCAGGGGCCATATTTTAGGGTCAGGGAGGGTTAGGGTCAGGGGGGAGTCAAGGGACGATGAACCAGAAATCAAGGGAAATATAATCATTAAGTTTTTATGGGTTGTGGTTCTTGAGGCTATAACAGTTAACTTTGTTGTGTCGTGTTCTCTATGTTAACAAAGGTGATAGAAATCGTGTCCTTTTAGTATATATTCATTCCGTGATTGTTGATAGTTTACAGTGGCTGTTGTCATAAAATCCGAGAATTTGAATTTCATGTTGTCAGAACAAGAGGTAAATTGATTGTTAGATGGGTATCAGGTGAATTTTGAATTCAAATTTTGTCACAAGTGTCAGGGGGTGTCAGATGGGTGTTAGGAGGTGTCAAATGGGTATCAGGAGGTGTAAGATAAGTGTCAGGAGGTGCAAGATGGGTGTCAGGTGGGTATCGGCATCATCCTTATCGTTGTTGTTGTATTGTTAGCATTGTTATTAATTTTATTATTATCATAACAACAGCAGTAATCCCACCCGAACCCTCTACAAAGCTTCCCTTAGACTTGGTTCAACAATACTAAACCTGGCTGGCCCTCACACACAAACCCTCATGCCGGAAATTCGCTTAGCCCGCCCTACCATCTGTTGTGACCCCGCCTGTACTCCAGCGGCTCAAGGGAAAGGCAAATCTCCTCAGCTCAGTCGCTTCTAAGACGCCAACTTCTTGACCTGGGCAATCATCTCCTTAGACTCCTCCCTCCCTCCCTCCCTAGCCCTTCTAGCACTCCTCCTCGTCTCCTGCTTACTCTAAGATGCTAAATGTCTTATGATTTTTTCCTCGTTTTGCTGTTTATTCTGGTTAATTGCGGATTTTTTTGGTGGGGGGGGGGGGATTTCTTAGAGATGAGGGTTTGTGATTTTTGGCTTTTGTTTTCTTGTCAGTAAATCGTTCGGTGACTATAACATAAGCACACAATTTTGACAAACCCGACTTCTTCGCTTACATCTCACAGAGCTCACTAGATACAATGTAAACAAACTTACTCTACCCATTGCTCACAAAACACAACACTCACGTCTCACATCCGATAGTTCACCCGTCGTAATCACAGCTCAAAAATTTCATACAAAACACGCCTCTCTCACTGTTAACAGGACCACCCACTTTACTCACAGCTCACAACCCACACAGTCCACACCCCGCACATCCCTGGAGGTCTCTAAACAACGTCAGCGGACTCAGAAGGAGAGGAGCGGTGTCATTAAACTTGTGTGAGTGAATTTATACCTGTCAGAGCTATAACTTCCTAGCCATTAAAATGGACCAGGAGAGAATTGTTGTCTGGGACTTTGCTCGCTGGCACTGTTCCCTCCCTCCTGCATAACTGCATTTCAGTCATTTGCAGTTCAATGCAGGAAGGCCATTTTAGGAACTGGATTATTGTTCGTTTCTTTATCTTTTAGAGTCAGTTTATTGGTGAGTTGTTTAGATGAAATTTTCCCGGAGGTGCGGGAACACTGTGTTGTTCTGTATTATGAAGGAATTAAGGAGATGATATCAACGTAAGTAGATTTTATTTTTTAGTTGAAGTCTCGAAATTATGAAAAGGGGGAACCAACTTAATTGTTTTTGATTTTCAAAACCAAATTCGAAGATAAAGAAGTTGTGCTGGGGACAAGTGAAGGGAGTAAAGTCGAGTGTCTGAGTGCATAAAGTTATGTGATGAAAAACAAAGAGAATCAATCCCAGAATATTTGGATCAAAATAGATTATGATTTATAATGAGTGTTTATATACTAGATAATGTGGGGCAACACGAGACATGAAAGATTGTATTATAAATATTGCCTAACTACATTGATTTAAGTGTGAGTGTACAAGAGGAGAGTGTAGGGATTATGGGTCATTATGGAGGGCCAGGAATAAATGGAATGTAGAGAGACATCAAAGTGTGCCATACAACGTTTACAAAGAAAGGAATTCATAAATAGACATCGATGCTCACAGCCTCACCTCTGATATTACTGAAACATAAAACAACATCTTGACAATGTAATTTACAAATGTAAACTACAAAAAATCCCAACATTTTATACAGCTTGTCAGTATTACATGGTGTAGAAATATTGAGGTAACATTCTAGATTGGTTGTCAAAGATGTTCCTTTTATGAAATTTTCTTGTTTCCTCTGACTGTAAATTTGGTTTGAATATAACAATATATACCGAGGTGTATCAAGCCTGGAATAACAAATATATAAGTATGAGTTATGACCAACAGTGAGTCAATATATGCAGATCTTTTTCGTATATGTGTCACTTATAGCATTTGGTATATCACTTATAACGCTTAACAAACATCATCCTATCAGGCTCAAAGCTTGCTACTTATTGGTGACATACAAGAGTTTTTATTTTTAATGTACAGACAACTAATAGTCCTTTCACCTCTCCACCTGAACCACGAACCCCGAGATTCAAACTCGTGAACCCGAAACAGTAGACTGATACATTATCCTCTCCGTAAATACTTCAAATTCATGAGTCTGAATCTCGGGGTTCGTGGTTCAGGTGGAGAAGCGAACGGTGGACTTTGGTAGTTGACTGTACCTAAGAATAATAGACGGAAAGATGAACTGGGTGTCATAAAGTAACAGAGAATTGCATACATAAAGGAACAGAACACTAACAAAGGAGATAGGTGTGAAATAAAGAAGGATTAATTGGGCTGACAATCTGGATGAAGAGGGAAAATAATAAAATGCAGATACAGGAAATTATAAACGTGAGAGGATTATATAAAGGGTGAACAGGAAACAGGGAAAAGGAGAAACTGACGTAAGAAGATCCTGTAAAAATGAAGGTATCATACGGAACACTTTATCATAGTTTACCCAGGGGACGCGGGACATAGAGAGGGAACGGGAAGCCAGAGATTGATAAATTTCACAACTAGACAGTAAGAAATAGGGTTAGAGGGAGATGTCAAGACTGAGTGGTTGATTGGTGATTGACGGGAACATACATGCCTTGTGGTATGTTCTTAATCTGTCTCATCTGTCTAACTTTGATGTATGTTTATCTATGTCTGTCATTTATTTACTTTTATTTATCTATGTGTGTTTCTATATAGGCCTGTCTGTCTGTCCATCTGTGTGAATTTCTGTCTATCTGTCTGTCTATTTGTCTGTCTGTCTCTCCTATGTATATCTCATTGTTTCATGTCGACATCTAATACGTCATAACAAAACAATAACAAATATCAAGAGAGAAAAAGTAAAGTTCTTGTTAGTGGAGAATTTGGTGTATCCAGGCTAGGGAATTCCCTCATACTGTCGAAGGTGTGCTTATTATGCTTAACACCTCACTCTCTCTCTCTCTCTCTCTTGCCCAATACTTCATTTTTATCTTCGCCTTCTCCATTTCTCCTCCTCTTCATCCTCCATTTCTCCTCCATTCCTCCCCCTCTTTCTCTTCCATTCTCCCCCCCATCCCCCTCTATTCTTCCTCTTCCTCCATTCCTCCCCCTCTTTCTTCTCCATTCCTCCCCCTCATCCTCCTCCATTCCCTCTCTTCCTCCCACCCCACTGCTCCCGCCCACAAACGAAACAGAAAATCTCAAATTTCTCGACGCGACAAATTGAGAACAGAAGACAATTTTTCGTGGTAGTCCTCAAGGGATGTGGCTGAGCCTGACCTCGCATGGCCTCCTCGTCTTGGCCTCTCATAGCGTTTTCGTGGCCTGTCATAGCGTCCTTGTAACCTCGTATAGCGTTCTCATGACCTCTCATAGCGCCGTCATGGCCTCTCTTTGCGTCTCATGACCTCATAGCATCGTCCTGACATCTCATTTCGTCCTCCTGACCTTTCGTTAACTTTAATATGATTCCTTGTGGCCTCGCCTTGACTCCTGACCTCGTCTTGATCTCATTGCTTCATCTTGACCTCTCATGACCTCACCCTGACCTCGTGTGAACCTCCTGTGACCTCCCATGACCCCTAGAGAGCATCAGAACCTCACATCACTTTATATTTCACCATCCCGGCAGTAATAAGGTCGTAAGGTGGCGCCAAGTGTTGTTTCACTCTTTCTGTAAGTTTTATTTATGTCGCCTGATAAAAGTTTATGTCTTGGGGTTTAAATATTGTCATTTTTATTGGCCTGGTTTATTGTGTATTTGGTTTTGGATAGTGTGTGTGTGTGTGTGTGTGTGTGTGTGTGTGTGTGTGTGTGTGTGTGTGTGTGTGTGTGTGTGTGTGTGTATTTTCATATATAACAAAGTAAGCACAACTCCCTGCATACCCGTACCTCAATCCTTTACCCAATACCCGAGGTTCTACGTCTTTGACATCAGGAAGAAATATGTCCCGTCCATTCATGATCTCTCTCTGTCGTTGAGTTTCTCGTGCCAGCGTCGAGAAGATCCAGTGAGTGTCTTGGGATATCTAGCACTGAATTATTTTTCTTCTCCCTTGTCTCTTGTCAAGGGTGGTAGTGTGTCTATGTTATTCTGGTATTTTTATCGTTGGATGACCCAGAGTGAAGAAAAATATAGACGTCTTTCATGTAAGTGTCGTTAATTTTTTTTGCTATTGCAAAAATGTGTAAATAATGGGAATTAAAAACAAATTATGTATTCTCCCGATCTTCCTTTTGTTCTTCCTTCCCTCCTTCTGTCCCTTCTTTCTTCACTACTTCCGTCTCTCCTTCCTTCCTTCCCTCCCTCTTTCCTACGTCCCTTCCTTCCTTCCTTCCTTTCTTCCGTTCCTACATGACTCAGGGACTTCCGACTAGACTTTACCCAGCATCCAAAAAATCTCAGAGGCTCTCCGACCTCCCCTTCTCATACCCGCAAAATATCGCTCGATTGTAACTTTTTACGATCTCATCTCTGGAGATTAACGCACGATTGCTGCTGGCGATAGTTGGGCGATAACGGCCGGCGATAAGAACTGGCGATAATGGGGAATTTATGGGGGCTAGGGGAGTGGTGGGGGAGGGGATGGTGTTTGGGTATGAGGAGTAAGGGGTGGGGGTTTGTACTTGGGATGGGGGGTTACCGTCCCTTGAGCTCATAAAGGGTCTTAGGCGGATAGATGTGTGAAGACTGAGGGAGGGAGAGAGAGAGAGAGAGAGAGAGAAGGGGAGAGATAAATGGACACACACACACACACACACACACACACACACACACACACACACTTACAATCTAACTTAAATAGATATGTTTATTCAGCACCATTTAGGGGGACAAAGTTATCGTAAAAAATATATCAAAATTATCTAAGTTCATTTTGTTCTTTACGTAATGAACTTTCCGATATCTGTGTCAGGTAAAATCTCGCTTAGTAATTTTGGAGCTGTTTTATGGACGTGCTATTGGGATTTAGCTGAAAGTCAATCAATTAGGTGCATTTAACCGTCTCCACTTAAGATAAATATTACTCGCAAAGACCTTTGAGAATCTGGACTCGTAGTTGGTCACCTGTGCCACAGTAAAGCACTTCAGGTAATTACCGCCGCCGCCTCCCAGGATGGTCCACACACACACACACACCTGCGTCTCCTCTCTCCAGTGGAGGTGTGAGTTATGTTACACACAGTATCCAAGCCTTTACCTGAGACAACGCCCTTCCTAACTACGTCATACACACCTGGATGAACAAACTGTGGGATTCATTAATATCACCTGAAGATTAGCAACCCCAGTTTATGTCACCTGATGATTAAAACTCCCTAACGTTACCTGGGGAGGGGGTAGGTTAGGTTAGCATTAGGGTAGTTAATCATCAGGTGAAATAAGCATGGGTGCTTAATTTTCACGTGGTTCAATTATTCACATCACCAAATACATGATTGAAGACGAGTTTCTTGTTAACTACGACTTACAGTAGCTTTAAAAATACAAACTACGTTAATAAGGATGATTTCCCTCCCAACTACACCTTATAGATACTTATCAGCTTATATATTAGTTACATACACATACCAAATTTGCTAATGGAGATGAATTCCTTCCCAGCTATGCATTAAAGCGATACAAATGCTCTACACACGACGCCCTGCACCACACAACAAGCTCTACACATCTCTGCTGTTTGTTGTATATCTGGTGTTTGTTGTATCTCTTTTGTGTGTCAGCTGTATGTCTGGTGTTTGTTTGTTTGTCTGTTGTATGTTTGGTATTTTTATGATGTTTTTGTTTGTCTGTTGTATGTCTGTTGTTTTTCTGCTGTGTGTCTGTTGTAAATCTGTTGTTTGTCTGCTGTTTGTCTGTTGCCTGTTGTGTGTCTGCTGTTTGTGTAGTGTTTGTCGTCAAGGGCTCTAAACTGACTTATCTCAAAGTTAGGAAGTGGCCCCTTTATTAAACCGAGGGAGCGAGTACAAACTTCTGTGGACTATCAGAAGGCAAATGATCTCTTTAATACACTGTGAGAGGGGACGGGTAGGGCGATGGGAAGGGGAGAGAGGGGGCGATGGAAGGGGGAGAGAGGGGCGATGGAAGGGGGAGAGAGGGGAAGGAGAGAGGGGGTGACGGAAGGGGAGAGAAGGGGGTGGTGGAAGGGGAGAGAGGGAGGCGATGGAAGAGGGAGAGAAAGGGCGGGCGAAAGAGAGGGGGCGATGGAAGAGGGAGAGAAGTGGCAAGAAAGAGAGAGAGAGAGAGAGAGAGAGAGAGAGAGAGAGAGAGAGGCGATGGGAAGGGGAGGGATGGAAGGGGAGAGGGGACGGGTAGGGCGATGGAAGAGATGGGGGTGACGAAAGGGGGAGAGGGGCGATGAAGGGGAGAGGGGGGACGGGGGAGAGGGGTGACGGAAGGGGAGAGAAGGTGGGGAAGGGGGAGAGAGGCGATGGAAGAGGAGAGAAAGGGCGGGCGAAAGAGAGAGAGGGCGATGGAAGAGGGAAAGAAGTGGCGGGCGAGAGAGAGAGAGAGAGAGAGAGAGAGAGAGAGAGAGAGAGAGAGGCGATGGGAGGGGGATAGAGGGGGCGATGGAAGGGGGAGAGAAGTGGCGGTGGGAGGGGGAGAGAGGGGAAGAGGGTGAGAGACAAACTTGTGTGGTTTATCAGATGTGTTTCTGGACAGTGAGTCTGGTGTGCTGAAGTCAGAGTTAGCGAAGGAAATTTTTCTTCGTTAACTGTGTGTGTGTGTTTGTATGCATACCTTACAGTGCTTTTCAGGTGTGTGTCGACCTGCGCTTGTTATTCGTCTACCCCTGAGCTACAGTGGTCGAAATAAATGGCAAAATTTGTAACTCTGCCATGGCAAAACTTGTAACTAACTTGGAAAATATAGTAACTCTGACATGGCAAAAATTGTAACTATGCCATGGCAAAATTTTTAACTATGACATGGCAAAAATTGTATCTATGCCATGGCAAAAATTTTAACTATGTCAGGGCAAAAACTTTTACGATGACATTTTTTCATACCGAATTTATAGTTCTGTGAATTAATGGCTATACAAAGAGGATAAATATTGTATTGTTCGATGGTTAAGTGAAGGCACAATTAGACTTGCCCATTGGTGTTTTAGATTATCTCGGGCAGGGTGGGCAAGGAGGTAGGCGGGCAAGGAGGTGGGCGGGCAAGGAGGTGGGCGGGCAAGGAGGTAGGCGGGCAAGGAGGTAGGCGGGCAAGGAGGTAGGCGGGCAAGGAGGTAGGCGGGCAAGGAGGTAGGCGGGCAAGGAGGTAAGGGCAAGGAGGTAGGCGGCAAGGAGGTGGCGGCAAGAGGTGGCGGGCAAGGAGGTGGGCGGGCAAGGAGGTAGGCGGGCAAGGAGGTAGGCGGGCAAGGAGGTAGGCGGTATTTCAACGTCTAAACTGTGAGGTAATTCGCCTGGTCTTTGAGCCGTAAATAACTTCACTCAGGTAAACGATTCACCTGGCTCTTCTTGTTTATCTTCTCCTGCCATTTCATACTTGTACCTGCCTTTCGTTTTTTCTGCTTCCTTGGTGTGTTTTTTTCGATTATAGGCAGTTTACAGTCACTTCCAACAGTTTATACTCACATCAAACAGTTTACAGTCACTTACAACAGGATATAGACAGTTCCAACACACACTCAACCCAACCTGTTGTTCAGTGTTTGCTCATCTCTCTTTTTTTCTTCTCCTGGCTCGAGCCTTTGAGTGTGCTATTCGCCACCTGTCGCCTCAATTGCGTCATTTCACCACCCGTATTGCGTCATTTCGCCACCTGTTGCCTCAATCGCTTCATTTCACCACCCGTATTGCGTCATTTCGCCACCTGTCGCCTCAATCGCTTCATTTCACCACCTGTATTGCGTCATTTCGCCACCTGTCGCCTCAATCGTGACTTAACACTTACCAACGCTGGTGTACCCGACAAACAAACTCGGTGTTATTATTTTCATCAGCTACAACACAGTCTTAAGTGCGGTACGACAGTTTAGAACAGTACTCCGGCGTCGTATTGTATTGTACTCAAGTGGTAAGTCCTCGTACTCAAGGGGTTAAATCATCGTACTCAAAGGGTTAAGTCCTCCTACTCAACTCAAGGGGTTAAATCATCGTACTCAAAGGGTTAAGTCCTCGTACTCAACTCAAGGGGTTAAATCATCGTACTCAAGGGATTAAGGAATTATTCAAGAGATTAAGGTATCCTACTCAAGGAAGGAATTACATCATTGTACTCAATAGTCTCAATCATCCTATTCTCTTCACTTATTCATTATACTCAGTCGTTTAAATCATCATACACAAAGACTTAATCATATTCCTAATTTCTTAACCATGAGTTTCTTCAAGGTAAAAAAAAAGTAATTATTCCTCCCC